ACATGGCCGACCAAGTACTCCTGATAAGAAATCCAGCAAGAGTCTAAAACAGAGAGGGGGGAGGCTAAGGTTTTGGCCATTACGAAGACTGCGTGATGAACCAACCTCTCTACCAAGCGTTGTGTCGCACATTTTTTTTCTTGTTTTTCCCAGCTTTGCCCTTGGGCTTCTTGGGCCCGGGCGTGGATTCCCCCGGCACGGCCGCCTCCGGCCCTTCTCCCCATCTCGCCTCCGCTGGGCCATCTCCGCTGCTAGCGTTGCTGCCACCACCTACGCTCCTCCTCTTCTTCCCGGCTCCCGCTCCGGCCCGCGTGGCACCCGCAACAACGGCGGCGCCGGCACTGGTACCGGCGGTGAGCTTCCGTTTGGCATTTCTCCCGCCCCGTTCGCTCCCGGGCGTGGCCGCGAGCAACGGCTGTTGTCCCGTGCCCCCATCAACTGGCAACGAGGCACTTTCCGGCGCCTCCGCCCCCGCCGCCGCCCCGGCCGCCTGCGCGCTGAAGCCCTCCGGTTGCCCCGCTGGGTTGACTCGGCCGATGCCTGCGGATGCGCGCTTCTGCTGCGCGCTCTTGGGATCGGTTCCCTTGGCGTTCTGCCAGACGCTGTCGCCCGAGAGAGCGGCGTTGATGAAGCGCCGGCTAGCATCCTGGTCGACCTTGAGGGTGCGCTGCTCCGGCGGCTTGTCCACGTTCTTCAGCCGCCCGAAGTACCCGCTGATGTTTCGATGCCGTTGGTGGGTGGAAGACGATGTAAGTTTAGAGAGACAGAGAGATAGAGATTATAGACAGCGAGAGAGAGAAAGAGAGAGAGAGAGAGAGAGAGAGAGAGAGAGAGAGAGAGAGAGAAAAAGAAAAAGGCAAACAGACCCACAGTCAGATAGACAGACAGACATGTCAATAGGTTAGCCGGTTCGGTGGTGACGGTGGCAGGACAAAATTGCGAAGGCGAGAGAACCCGGCATGCCAACAGCAAACAACTGGGTACGGGTAGGAGCGGAACGGTTACGAGCACGACGTCAAAAATGAAGCATGGAAAAAAGGTTAAAAATTATACGGGGAAATTTTCTTCCGTGTCTTGTGCCGATCTCTCGTTCTGTGCTCCCCCGTCCATCTCCACCATCCTGCGCAGGACTCATCCTGCCATGGCTATCGTCACTGCTGCCCTTCGTCCTCTTTCTCACCGTATACGGTCCAGCTCGCCCTTTACCGGGTGGGTCGAAGGCGACACTCCCTGAGTCTTCAGAAACATGTAGAAGAGGGAGCTCACCCCGTAGGCAACCTGTATGCGAAAATTTTCGGGAAATACATCGGTTCGCTTTCTGTCGCAACTCGTTGAAATGGCGATCAACAGTTGCGGGGCCGGTGCGACCGCCAACATTTGAGCAGCCTTACGCGGACACCATGGATGCGTGACTGCTACTGTCGTCAACATGCCCTGCCATCCCTCCGCCAGCTGTCGTCAAAATACGCGGCAATTCCTCCGCCATATGTTAAGGGAGGACGGTGTTCAGATCAATCATTTTAACGATATCCTCACAGGATGTCGTCGTCAGACATTACACTTGATTATAGTGTACACCAAAAGTTGGTGCCGTTTTGTTTTTGGGGGGAGCCACACAGCAGTTGCGTTGCGACGAAATGCCTAGGTTTGTGGCCGCCACATATCTCACGAACTTCGTGCAGCAACGACGACGTGTATCGAACCTTATGGTGCGCTCGTCACACCCTGTCATGAGTGCACTTTTCGACGGCTCACGTCTGCTTCTAGTGTTGCTTTGACGTTGTGGCGACCACGCGCTCTTGCTGCGTGTACACCAAATTGGTACCGTCCGTATATTGTTCGCGCCACGCAGCATGCGTCGCGACGGAATGCCTAGCGTCGAGGCCATCTCATGTCGAACGAACTTCGGTGCAGCAACGACAGCGTGTACTGCACCCTTGCGTGCTATCGTCACACCCAGTCATGGATGCACTTGACGGCGATTCACACTTTTTTTTTTTTTTTAACGTTGTTGCGGCACCGATCACGAATGAGTTGTATGTGCTTCGTCTAGGGCACGTCGCTTCGCAACCCCGACATGACTCCTGTCAAACTCCTATCAACTACTGCTGTGCTGTAGTGCACAACAGCACCCAGTGTCAAACCGGCGTACAGATGCTGCCGGCAGCGTGACCTTGCTGTAAACCCGCATTGAGTTCACCCACAATTGTCAACCCGCATGGAATTCACCCACAATTAATTACATTTCGAACAACACGTCTGTCTGCCCACCCTTGCTGCGGTAATTATGACACTCTATTTACATGCAATCTTCTCACAAAAAACAACTTACATCCACTACAGCATTGCACGCCCGCCGGCCCTCTATAAATACTTCGTGCTTCGCTGCACCCTGTCATGAGTGCACTTGACGACAGTTCACGTTTCATTTATTGTGTTGGTTTGATGATGTGGCGACCACGTGCTGCGTGTGGCAGCCATCGCGAATATGTGCAGCAGTGCAGTTCGTCTACATACGTCACGCGTTCTGCAACACCGACTCCACTCCTGCCAAACTCAGACCTCAACTACTGCTATACTGTAGTGTACAACAACACGCAGCTTCGAGCCGGCGTAGAGATGTTGCCTGTGTGGTGTCCTTGCTAGAAACCAGCATGGAGTTCACCCACATTCATGGGCAACCTCGAGCATGACGTCTGCTCACCTCTGCTCCGCGGTGATCATGTCAATCTCCTCACAAACACACAATTTACATCCACTGCCGCTGAATCCGCTGGCTCAACAGCACTGTACGCCGGCCTTCGATCTGCCTTATTCGAAGCTGTTCCTGCGCAGAGTCTGCGTTATCCGTATTACCGCTGTTCTGTGACTACAATATATGTATTCTGCTTGGCTTCATCCGTGCGACAAAGGCTGAAGACTCTGTGAGACGGATCCATCACGCACATGTAATCATGCTACATTTGTAATCTAATCGTCACAAGCATACATATTTGAATTTCCTGCGGTTGGCACTACAACACGTTCCGCAACCCCCGCCTTTGTACTCCACCCGTTGCTTCTGCCGTTCCACCCGTTGTATCTTGTGCCGTCCTACATCATCGACCCACATTTTCGACCAAAGTAGACTTGATATCCACTAGTCACTTTTGGCTCTACACTGCACGCCGGCCTTCAATAGCAGACTTCTTGTGCGATATTTTGCGTCAGATCCTTCGACATCTGCTGTAGCATCACAAACAACGACACACGCTGTCCACAACTGGTGCTGTTATCATGCCATGTAATCTACATAATCGTCACAAGCATGAATATTTGAACATCGCTGTCGGGACAACAAGACGTTCTGTAACCCCCGCCTACTCCACCCGTTGAATCTTCGGCCGCCCTTCATTATCCACCCACCACATCTTCGTCGGGGCCGACATTAATATCAACGACCGCCTGGCTAACATCACAAGTAGACTACTACTCTTTGGTTGCCACATACGTACCCCAAATTCCGTTGTATTCGACTGCCACAACCAACGACACGGGCATTTGTGTTTCTCTTCGAGACTTCTCGCCACGCCCGAACCCGTGCAGCCAACGATAAACTGTGGTCTACGCAGTGGACGTTTCACACCCTCCACTCTGCGTTTCGGACGCGATTCATGTCATTGTGGATAAACAGTATTATCGACGCCGAAATCCCGTCATGATATTGTCCGATCATCCGTCATCCATTATAAGTGTCTTGCCACGGGAGTTTGGCCACCCGCCCCCCATTCAATCGTTGCCCCTAGTAGCAATTAATACTTGGCAACAAAGCTGACAGCGAGGAATGGAGCCGTAAAGGTTTCGCATCCTGTGTGGTGGGAAACAACCGTAGCCAATGTAGCCAGATCCGAAAAAAAACAATGCTAAGCTTGAGTTCCAGGTGGTATTCAGTCAACCGCATGATATGCATAGCACCACCCAGTAGCAGCGGATTGCTGCGGATATAGCGTGAGCGCTGGCTGTGCGGCGCAGCTCGGTTCGCCGCCTTGTGGCGGGAGCCGTGTGGCGGTACAATAGCTTGCCTGTAAGTTGAGCGTGGCACGGTCCTTCGCGCTGACGCAGCCGCCCACCTCCTCTCGGCTCATGAGGGTCAAAGGCCTCACACTTTAGGTCGTGTGTTTCGTAGTTGCAGGAGCAGAGGACAGAGCGAGTTTCAGATCCAGAGCGGGGAAGGGCAGCGGCGAACATGCGGAGGGAGGAGATTTGGTAGTAGGGGGAGTTCGGCCAATTTGGTCAACATAGGCAGGAGCGGGAGCGGCCAGACTACCGGAGCGACATAAGGTTGACAACAATCTGAGGTGAAAATCCTGCACCTAGAGCAGACACAGCAGCCTGGTCGTCACTAATTATTTATCATGCCAGACGTGCGCACGAGACGGATGCAAAAGCTGCATCACGGACCACTCCTTCGTTTGTGCTACAACTTAGCAACGGGGCCGATTGTCGTCAGGTGGCCAGCAACGTCTCGTCGGAAGGGATATCAATTCAACGCATAGCAGATCGTTCGTTTCGCGCTGCTGTCGGCTTCAACATTTCCCGTCTTCCCTGTTGTCCTTCACCTCCCTTGCGCCACAAGCACACAACGCGCCGCAGCAATTACCGCCTCGCTGCTGAAACCTACTCTGTAAGTACGAGGGACCACCCACCATCAACACTCGCGTGGCAAAGAGTCTCACCTGTTGCGCACATGCCCCAGGGCGCGTTCGAAGTTCTTCAGCGATTCTACGCCTTTAGACTCTTCACTAGCTCCCGCCATTCCTCGGCTCGGCACTCCACACAGATATCACCGCTAGGTCTCTCTCTCTCCCCTTTCGCCCTTCGCCCTCCTCTGTGAGGGATGCGGCGAGACTACGGAGAATGCGGCGGGATGACCAATCGTACGTAGATCGTTAAGACCGTAGATCGTAGATGGTGGAAATGCGGATAGGACGATCTCCCCTCATCATTGATGGCTCTTTGGCTTTTCACACAACAACCCGGTCAAAAGGGTTGCTGTACGGCCAGCAACTATCCCAAGCACGCAAGCAGGACGGCGAACACACGCCCTCTCGCAAGAGGATGCCTAGCAGCCGCGACCGCTTCGACCTTCGGCGGGACCATGGCTTCAGGAACCCTCCTTTTCCGCCACCATTCTGTTTCCCCGGTAAGGCGAGTTGGTGAGATCCGGCGGCTGTGCCTCTTGACCTCTTTCGTCATCGATATCGACGCGGCCGGCTTGACTCACAAGCATCCAGGTTGGGAGCAGCAGCAGCGCGACCCCCGTGACCCGCATTGTTAGGGTCTCTGGTTAGCCCTGTTCTCGCTGCAGGTTTCCGTGACCAAGTTGGTTGTTACGGTATCTGTACACTGATGACAAGGGGTTTTTCTTCACATCATCAGCATGTGTTGCCAAAAGAGATAGCTGCGACATTCTACATTTGTTGTACCACGTGTTGCAGGCGGGTGTGTTGCAAACCACCCGAGTTGATGATCCACCTCTTGTCGCGCGGGCAGACACCGCCCCCGCTGCTGATGATGCTCCCTGCTTCTGATCGTCGTTGGCGAAACAGCTTTATTGTTTCGTTTCTGATATGTCACCATCGAGTTCCTTCCAAAACCACGAGCATGGATGGGACCACAGGGAAAACATTGGCGCAAAAAAAATTGCGCCAGCAGAGAAGGAACGTGGAGAAACATTTGTCCCAAAAGCTGCACTGAGCACTGAGTGTATTAGATCCGAATCAAAAGCCCCCACGAGCAGCTCCATTTAGAATCGAGCAGGCTGTTGAAGATGCGTATGCTTCTTTCGCCACTCACTGAAAAGGCTTCAACTTCAACGCAACACCTCGATTGGGGCAATACCTCGAACGATCGTCTTTCTGCGGAAGTGCCGGTACGCATCTACTGCTCTACCTGACAATTCCAATCTCCATGGATGACCCCCCGGGCTTTTGTGCAAATCATGTAGGCAAAAACACTTCACACCGACAGATGTTACAGGTGTGCGGCTGGCGCGCAGATTTTACATGGATGGGACGAAAACCACACACACACACAAACGCACATCATTGTAGACTATGGAGCACAGATAGGCTGTAGCCAAACGGTCCATTCCAACAGATACAAATGAAGCGGTGACCTTGACGTTCATCGCCGTGAGATGCGACAGCAGTAATAGGAAGCGTGCGGGTGCGTGTTTGGCGTACCACGTTATTGTTGTGGAGGCGTCCGTCCTCTCCCTTCACAATTCTTTTTTTTTCTTGGTTTGCACCGGCGGTGACTGCTGTCCTGTCGTCCATGGGCCAACAGTCAGCAGACACGCTGGCTTACGAAAAATGTTTGTGATGAGAAAACTTGTGATGATTGAGCGATGAGAAGGTGAAGGGAAGGGAAGCCGTGGTACATGCGCCATGTCCGTTTGTGGTCCTAATGACCTTGATGAAGCCTTTCGCCAAGTACCACAACAAAATAAAAACTGGTTTGCGTTCGAAATTGCGAGAATACTCAAATCAAGCGAAGGTGCGACGACCACCGGTTCTGGTGTGTGCGGAGAGATTCCAGCAGCCAACCCTCACTGCTCACAACTATCATGGGAACATTTGTTCGCCAACGGAACCGCTCTGGAGCGGCCGGCTATCTATGGACATTCCATGGTTGGGCCTTGTATTTCTTGTACGTAATGATAATGAATGGTAGACAGATACCCCGTTGCTGTTCGATCGCTAGCGAATTCGCCTCCCCCCCCCGCCACCCCGGTGTTTGCCATCGGGGTTGGGTTGCCGTCTCTTGGCAACGGCGTTGTAAAACAGCCCCCCCCCCTCGGTGTTTGCCATCGGGGTTGGGGTTTTGTCGCTTGGCGACGACGTTGCAAAACAAACCGATCACTTCGTGACCTCAGCAACCATTGTTTTTTCTGCCTCTGCTTTTTTTTTTTTCACGATAACCATGAATGGTAGTCTTGTAGAAAGTGTTGTGCGGCGCAGCCGCGCGTTGGCTCAGTTCGCTGCCGCTACGCCGTGCGTCGGCCGTGTGTGAGGGTTAGGGTTAGGTTTAGGGTTGGTTGGTGTGAGCAACCTAGCCTTGCTACGTTCAACATCGATTAGTCCTAAAGAGGTACCAAGGCTCTGTGCGGGGTCGAGAACCCTCGCTCCGCGCAAAGGGAATAATCGCACCACGCTGTGTTCAATAGGCCAAGCACCCTCGAGGCAGTTACGCAGTGCTTGTAACTTTCTCTGGGTTTGAAAGCACCAGAAAAAATCAAGTCATACGCAGCGGCCATCCGTACGCAAGGAAGTAAGCACAAGATGCCGACACCCGTAGCAGGATGCAGCACACCCTTCATGCGACTCGCCGAATACCTCACGGCGTTTCGCGCTTGGTGATGTCAGAGCCTGATCCGGTGAGAACCCGGCGCGCTCCGTCCCGGCTTTGTAGGGANGCGCTCTCATGCATACGCGTGACCTCGCGGAAGCCGCCGTCGCCGTCGCCGCCGTCGCCCGACAGGGATCGATCAGGTGTATCAGGTGTCTGAAACAAGCCGCCATGGTGTCGACTGCAACTGGCTTTCATCGCATATCAGCCCCAAAACCTGCCGTTGGTCCGTCGAGAACCTTGAATTTATCTGTCCACCTGTAGTTGCACATGCGCGCACAACGCACCTCCGAGAACTAGGTACTTCACACGCTGTACAAGAGGTGTTCGTTGCGCGTGCACTTCGAAGTTCCATAATGGTATGAAACAAGCCAAGGTGAAGTTCCACAGATCATCCCCTCAAGAGTCGCTGTCTTCTGTTCTTTTGTTGTTGTGCCCCCTTGTATACACACAAGTACATTCCCGCCCAACCCGAGCTTCTCCCCTTTCTTTTTTGTTTTGTTCTTTGTCACCGCACCAGGAGTTTCAGGAGCGTGGGGACAAGAGGCCGCTCAACCTTCTTGGGGCGGCAAGAGCAACGACTACCCGCAAGAGACTTTCAACACCTTCCGCCGTGCCCCGAGCCCCTTCGGGTCACACGGACCGGACGGCCGGTACCGGCAGCCTCGCGCACCCACCGCCACCGCTGCAGCTGCTGCTGCTGCTGCCGTAGATAGGGAGGAGAACGGCGCCGACGTTCCGCTTCCTGAGCGTCGCGGCGCCGGTGATAGCGGCACCAATTACGCGGGGCTTGCTTCTCGAAGCGACGGGAGCGCCGAGGTTAGCGCTTCTTCTAGCCCCGGCGGCGACCGCGCAGGCGGCGACGAGGGCGGTGGCGTCAGCAACGTCGGCGGCGGCGGTGGCAGCGGCGGCGGCGCCAGCGGTAGTGCAGGCTCGGCTGAAGTCTCGGCCGTTGCGGGGGCGGCAACGGAGGCGGCAGCGTCGGCCGTGCCGGTGCCGGTGCCGGTGAAAGATACCCCGGCCGCCGCTGCCGACCCAGCCGCCGCCGTCAAACCCAGCCACGATAAAGACGAGCGGCGGCTCGGCGGCAAGGACGAGTCGGCCACCGAGGCGTGCTCGGAGCGATCAGCGTCGAGTACGTCCTACTCGATTGCCTGGACAGCCGCTGCCAGCCGCGTCGAGGGCGGGGACGATCGCGGAGCGGGGCCGAGGGATGTTGCGGCCGTTGAGATGTCTCAGCGGCGGGGGTGCACAGAGGAAGGGGATTGGGGGAACGGCAGGGACGACGTGGGTGACGATGAGCTTGGGGAGGAAGGGGGAGATCCGGACCAGGGGTGGGCCATGTCGGCGGAGTGGGAAGAGTACCTGAGGAACTCTCCGGGCGTCTCCAGATACCGTGAGTTGCTGGTTCTTCTTTTTTGGTGCGCTGTGGTGGATGCGCTCCGGAACATGTACAAATATTATCGTGCCTTCGAATGCTGTTAATCGGGGATGTTACATTAGTGGGGTGTGTGGCATCGTGTGTCGTACTCCACGTGCGTGATCAGGTTTGTCTTTTGGGGCTGGTGCTGACCCTTAAGTACTTGGCATTTGTTTTTCATGTGCCGGGGGGGGGGTGTTACGTGATGTACGTGTGTTGCCTTGTGTCGTGCGCGGTATGGATTGCAAGAGGAACCTTTCTCCCAACACCGACGGGCTCGCGAGGTACACATGCAGCGGCGTCGCTTACATTTCATCCGCCGCAGTCAAAGCGACCCTCTTGTTGAATGACAGCAATCAAATTTGCGTGTCTCTTTTATTCCCCGTGATGCACAGGTCGTGTGGGGAGGTTTCGAGAAACTCATTCTTCTTGTATGTCGACGCGTTTCAGTCTCTCTCTTTTTTTCTCTCCATCTCTCGTGCTTTCATGTCTCTCATTATTCCCCGCTCTCTCCCGCTCCTTCCCTCCCTCTCCACCTCGTTGTCTCCTCCTCCCCTTTGTGGTCTGGCGAACCGCCTGGGACGCTGGAATTCTGATAACCTGGGTGCAGTCGAAGGGGTGCAGGCTAAGGCATACACCTGTGAGTCTTGCTATTTGATTCTGTTCATGTGTTTTTTTTTGCTGCTGCTGCTGCTGCTGCTGCTGTTGTTGTTGTTGTTGTTGTCGTTGCTGCTGCTGCTGCTGCCGCTGCTGCTGCTGCTGCTGTTGTTGTTGTTGTCGTTGTTGTTGTTGATTGTGGTGGTTAATGTTGTTCTGGTGTCGTTGTGAAGATGGCAATGGTGATTATCATTCCTCCATGTGGTGGCAGCGTCTGCTGGTGCTCGTCCCCCTCGGTATTCTACTCCTGCATGCTTTGCACTCCGTGATGCCTCTCCGAACCAGATGCACCTCCCGTCTCTCCGTGAGAACACCGCCACCACCCGGTGTACCTACCGTGCGGTAGAAACTAGGAAAACCTGCAAAGGGGGCTGAAGGGGCCTGTTGGACCATGAACAACGACCAATGTCTTCGGCATTCCACAGACGCCAGGCCACCGGTTTTCCCTTTATTGGGACGGGGATGTACGACTGCTTCTCCTCTGCGTGCGCCCCTGTTTCTCGCTTGTCCTATTTCTACCCCCTATGCTCACTCTTGCCTGCTCACCCTTGTCAAAATCTCAACCCCCCCTTCCTCCTGGCCTCCCCATCTCCCCATCTGATTGGTCGGTTCCTTTGCCACAACACCGCCGTACAACCGCAATTGAATTCACCTCTCCTTGCCGACGTCCACTCGCTCCGTCGACATCTTCGTGTTGGGGGGGTACCATACACGATTCTGCGGCATCCCCAGGGAAAGACGGCAGGGGAGGTTCAGGGAAGGGCAACGGCAACAAGAAAGGCAGGAAGAAACGCGGCACGGGCAGCAACACCAGCGATAAGAGCAACAGCAGCGGCATCGTTGCAGCTGACCTCGATCCGACGACGACAACGGACAACAGAGGATACACCAACACCAACACCAAGCAGCAGCAGCAGCAGCAGCAGCAGCAGCAGCGGGGCAAAGCTCCACCCCGTGGTGGGAATAATAATGGCAAGAAAAAGAGCCCAAAGGAAAGGGGAAAGAGCAACAACAACGATGTCAACAACGACAACGACGACGACGCTGCCTCAAGGGCGCTGGATCTAGAGCTCGCCAAGATCAAGGCTCACGCACTCTTGTACGCGCAGCAGCAGCAGCACCGGCCACTCGAGGACGCGATGGCCGCCCCGCCCACCACTTGATTCCAGTCGTCGTCGTCGTCGCCATCTACCTTTGCATCCCCCCCCCCCACAAAGCCTCGCCGGGGCCCTGACACAACAATTTTTGTGCGCGTGTGTGTGCGCAACGCACGCGGCGCTTGTGTATGTAGGTACCTGTTCGCCTTTCCTCATATGTCTCCCTTGCCGCGAAAGAGTTGGGGAGACTACAAGAGAAGAGAGAAGGGGGCGAGAGTGAAGGATGGGAGGATGAGAGGGGGTCTCAGGCTTTGCTTTTGTGGGCAATCCGGAAACGAGAAGAACGCTACACAAACTCCTCCCTCCCGTGATTTCAGCACCGCCGTAGGTTGACACCGCTAGGCTCTGTTTCTGCTGTACAGCTGCGGGCGCGACTTTTATTGGCCGGGCGTCGTCAAAGCCGCAACTTTGTCCCATGTTTCTGTGTGTATGACTTGTATCCTGCTTGCTGTCGTCCCCATCGTTGTTCATTGATCATTCACTCCCTTGAACCTTGGAATGCCTCCTCGTCGTCGTCTTTGTTGCTTGTCAATTCGTCTTTCTTGGGCAATGCACGCTGCTTTTTTATGTTTTGTGGTTGTCTGAGTTTATTTGACGATTCACCCCGTAGTGCCTTGGAGTACTTGTTTTTTTTGTCATCTTCTCGCCTGTCGATCGCACCTTGGAGTGCTGTGTGTTTTATCATGTTCGTCGTACTTGGGTTGATCTCTTGTGCTGTTAGAATTCATGAGATGCCCCACTTCCCGCGAGCAGGCGGAGGAAGTCGCTTTCAAGTGTCTATAAAATAGAATAGTTTTGAACTTGTTCGTGGTGACAAGTTTTTTTTTAGGTGAAAGTTTTCGCAGGTGTGTGTGCGTTTGTTTTTCTTAATTGTTGTGTGCGTGTGCCAAGAGAGAAGAGTCGGGGTGCATGAGGCTGACGTGACGAGGAGTGAAGCGCGTTGGAGTTGGCGTCAGCCGTCAACGAAACGGGCTCAGTTGCGTGTGGTGCTCGTTGTGGAAGATAGATGCCTTCTGGCGAAGCAGCAGCTTGTTCTTCTGTAGCGAGAAATAATTCATGTTCGTGCCCGTAGACCACCGTTCACTATTATTGATGCGGATAAGAGTTAGTCTAGGTATGATACATGGTATACAACAGGCCCCGCGGTCAAGTCAGGTTCAGAGTTGCAAGTAGGCGCAGGCGCGAGAGGAGGAGGAGAGACTCGCTTGCTGGAAAGATCGGATCTGTGGTGGGGGAGTGTGTAGACGTTTTCAGAACAGGAGCAATGAAGAAAGCACCCTGCATGTTGTCCATAGTCGAGTTTCGCGAGTGGATTAGGTTTATGGAGGGGTCAAAAGGAGTCTTGGGAGTACTGTTAGTATCAATGCTGAATATTTGAGGAGGCAGGACAGCCCCAGGACTGCCCCCGTTTTTACGAACAAAAAAGAAAAATCGGTCTACTTTAGAGCGCACCACGTTTGTTTGCCGTTTCGACAGGAATAACAACGCACGCCGCAACCGGCCACACGAAGGCTCGAGTTATTTATTTATTTTTCAACGACACAGACCGTCGGTCCGACGGAACCGACCAGCCAAGGGTTGTCGGCCAATCAGAATTCGGCGGCACCGATGTCGACCAATAGGACACCGCCCCGTCTACCTCCACGGCACCCTAGCTCGAACGGCGTTCGCTGGGTCCCTCGTCGCATTCCTCGCGACATCACACGAGCAAAGGAAACAGCCAACACCTCTGGTGGCAAGGTTATCGCCACCGCCACACAGCCAAGAAGCTCTCCAACGTTGGGGGATATCTTCTTTTTTCGCCCGCATCCCCGACAGGGTACCTCCCGCACGCCAGATGACATCTCCTCTCACGCGCTACGTGAAACCCAGCGGGAAACGAAACAAGACTCAGCATTTGCAATTCCAAGCATTGTCTGCACATGGGACGAGCCGAAAAAGCATTCGGTCATGAGTTGTGAAGATGCCATGCGCGGAACGTTCGTGGCTCCCGTACCGTTACCCAAACCAAGCGTGTCACGATCTTGTGGGGCTGGGTATGCTCTCCCTCACATGCTTGGTATTGGAACCCCGTATGCTCATTTCTGTTGGATGCACAACATTTGCGGCATCCACTCCTTCAATGGTTCATCCGCACATGACACGCCGCTCCAACAAAAACAGGCATTGTGCACCTCAACTACAGTGAAGTCTTAGCCTTTCCCTGAGGAACCCTGAACAACGAAGCTTTCTCCTTCACTCTCATCAATAAACTATTTTTTCCTGCTGCTGTGATGTTAAAACTGTCTTTGCGTCAACTGCGGCTTGTTGCAATTCGGACAAAACGAAACCCTTCACCGGCCTCTTACGAGACCCTTTCTTTGTATATGTTTCGACTCAACGCAACCCAAAGCGCCAATTTAACCGGAAGAACAAAACAAAAAAAACACACCTCGTGCATTATCGAGCAACCAAGCCCTGCAGTTATACGAAGTACGAAGAGATACATCTGTGTTTTCCCTGAAGACTACCGTACCGTACCGTAAATGTACAGCACGGGACCAGCATCAGAGAAACCCACGCATACACGACATGGTAGTAGCGTGCTTTGGGTCATTTGCAACACCGCATGCAAAGAAAGCTCTCAAATGCCAAATCATCACGCCCCTCCCCGGCCCTGAAAAATTGCAACACTACACGACATGTCCGGCTGGCAATTGTTTGGTACCGCTTGTTTGCACAAAAAAAAAAATCGCCACCGCCACGAAACCAGTACCACACAGCACTACTCAGAACGGCATAGCGCACGAACAGCCTGGCGCTATTGACAAAAAAACGCTCACTTCCCTCACGAAAAATTATGAAGCAAGGAACGACAAAAAATAAAAACTAGGTGCGTGGTTCATCCAGAAAGTCCAGAAAAAAAAAAAAGAGCAGACTGTACATAACACAACACCAAATGGCTGATAAAACTACAACAACACCACCAAAACATCACAATCAATCCCCGTTCTAGCCCCGGCATCCACCGAAAAACTCGCCATAAGCTTTGTACCTATCAATATAAAAACTAGTTTGATTAGATCGGTTAATCACGCACAGCGTCTACTGCTGCTTCCACCCCGGCCACCCCGCCCCTCCCCGACAGTCAACCAACTCAAGCCTTGAAAGCAGGGAAATCCCACTTGATCCCACTTGAACAAAAAGGGGGGCAGCGAAAAGAAACCATGGTGTGAAAATTGACTATTTCCGATCCATATGCACAGGCTGGTCGGTCTACAAATATAAACACAAGATAGGAACACCACACAGAGAAAAAGAAAAGAGAACGACTACGACAAAAAAAAAAAAGTTGTCACGAGGAACAAAAGCGCGACCTGCGTACACAACACACACCGGCAAGACGCTGCACTCCAGCGAACCAAGTCCAGGCACAAAACGTGCACCACCCCTATGAATAGAGGCCTTTCGGGGTGAGAGGATCGTGGTTTCCGGACTAAACTGACCGCAATATCACGGGAATCACAGAGAGCCCTCCCACAACGCCGCGAATACTTGGGCATAATACGCCTTTAGAGGCATAAAATTCCTGTAGACTCCGTTCGGCTCCGCGCGGCAGAGAGTTCTGAAACATCCCGACTCCTCTGGGTGGGCGTAGACACGCAAAACGCCTTGGTCCCTCTACACACACCACACGCAAGGGAGGTTGACTTATACCCTGTCCTTCTTGCGCCGCAAATGGCAAACCAACCATGGTAAAAAAAAAAAGAAAAACACGAACGGTACACGAAGGCACTTCGTTGTCACCTTCAAACAACGACCCCTATCCCTCCCGGAGCCGAGCAGCTATGCCATGAACCTCGGCTTTCTTCCCGTTCCACCTGAGTCGGCACACAGCTGTGTCCTTGGAGGGGGGCAGTGGACATGGAGGGGCGTAAAACACAGGCTGTTGCTCAGTCGGGGGCACAAAGGAATCGACCCATCTGTTTCGCATAAGACATCACATGTACACTCTTGACGTCGGCCTTCTTTTTCACCTTTCGGATCAATTTTCTGGACGAAGGAGGCGGGGTTATACAGGAGGGAAAGGCGACACAAGGAGTAAACAAAACTCAAAGAGTGTTTTTTTTCTCGAAATTATTACAAGTAGCCTCGCCTTTTCTAGGGAAAATAACGAAGGATCGATCAGATCAGGCCACATTAAGCAAAGAACAACAATCGCCCAGACGTCGGATCAAGCCGACACTATGGCGGGTACGGTTTGAGAGAGGGTCGTGACAAGCCACTACTTCTCTCTTAAATCCGGTTTTCTCTCAAAACCGTACCGTGAAGCGTATGTATTTTTCATGGTCGTGACAAGCCAATTCGACTCTCTAAAAGCAGTGCTTTCTCTTAAATAACCTCTCAAAAACCGTTGTAGCCGCCACTGGAAGTAAATCCAACCTTCTCGCGTTGAAAATCAAAAGCAAGCATCACAGGAGGGGGTGGAAGGAAAGGCACCCTTCTGCGTGACCACGGATTGGAGCTCCTAACCTGCTGTCAGCTATGAGCGCTGATTGAAAGTACTCCAATAACAAAAAACGAAGAAGAACGACCAGGGTAGCCGCCTGCATACCTATAGAGACTCCGTTCAGCCGCCGTAGCGTTTGCCATCAGGGGGTGACGGTGGATCGAAGCTATCCCGGGGGTCCTCCGGCTCTGGCACGGAGTGGTACAGCCGGAGGCCGATCATGATCACAATGAGGCCCGACACAGTGTACACGTTGAAGCTATCGTGCAGCCACTCCTGTGGGGCGAGCAGACGGGCGGAAAAGCAGAGCACACGTGGAGAAGCATGGCCAAGAGAGGGCAGCAGACACGGGGGTGCTTGAGCAAAAAGGAAGCAAGAGTCTTGTAGAGACCGATTGAAACAAAACGGAGGAGATAGGTGGAGAACCAAAACGGAGGAGGTAGGAGGAGGAGGAGGTGGAAGCAAAGAGGCTAGTATCCACCATCCAAGACCGAGAGGCAGTTCATTGCGACATGAACGCAAAAAAAAACCCAACAGAATGCCGTAACACCCCACCATAAAAAAAACAATGAATTCCAACTCTTGAATTATCGTTTCGATACAACAAGATATGTTGTTCGCTGTTTTCCGGAAAGACTGCGTGGGAGTAGAACGACCAAACGACACAGGCCTCCAACAATCAGCACGAAGATACCACATCATGAATCAACACCACCGGCCCGAAAACAACAATGGCAGAGCGACGGATGGACACGCCAACCCATTAGCCACGCACACAGCAGTACCACACAACGAGCGCAAAAGCAACCAGAAAACTCACGGCTTCGTTGTAGAAGCACAGGACAACGAAGGCCGTTGGTACGGAAAACGCCATGGCACGGTGGTACACCGACGCCGACCTGCGCGGCAGAAAGAGAGGTCGAGGCGGCAGCAGCAGATGGCGGGCAGAGGAGAAGCGGACGGCAAACGTGACTCAACTAGACGCACAAAAACGGGAGACTGGGCAACCCCCGCGCAAACCCCAGCAACGACAATAGCAACAGCAGCACCATCAATGGTGGCAAGCAATAACCACAGCAGCAGCAGCAGCAATAGCAGCAGCAGCGATAGGACATGGATTCACCCAGGAGAGGGCATACGAAAAACGGCGGGCGCGAACACTTCGCCATCGCACAAGGATATGCCCGGTGAAGCACAAAGAACACAGAACTATAACAACCGAACGGCAACATAGAAGTGGTGCTGTATTGGACAGAAAAGCAGCGTCCATCCGCGCACCCGATGATTGAACGTCTCGCAACGGTGTTCCGCCGAAGGTCAGCGCGGGGAGCTGGGTCACCCTCAATCCGGGGCAACAGCTGAGGTGAGGTACAAGTTTACTGGTTTCGAACTGAAACTTTGTTCATTGGCCAGCAAGATACGTACAGCAGTAGCGCGGCCAATCTCAGTGAGGAACACGGTATACACCTCCTCCACGCGAGGTTATTACCCCCACTTTAATGTCTTGTAGACTAAATCCAACGAGACTGGCTACATTTGTCATTGGTCCACCGGGCTAGCGCGTGGTCGACGTCACTCCAAGTATCTTCAAGTATCACACGCACAACCTCTCTCTCTCTCTCTCTCTCTCTCTCTCTCTCTCTC